TTTAGAGAACATTCAGTCTTTTTTGCAATGAAGCGGTATTTTGTTTCTTCTTGCAGATGGAAAGTACTTTTACAACATTTTTTGCGATTGAATCTTGACAAAACATAAATTTAAAAGAGTTTTTCTTAAAAGAAATGTCTGGTTTAAATTTAGATCTACCAAATTGTCATCAGATCAAAAATAAAATTGTTAAAAGATTTATTATGTTCCGATTAAAAATAGCTTCCAAAAAATGTCAAAAAGCATGCAAAAAGCTTGCAAGTAAAAGTGTTGCTGGACATTTATTGTAACAAATACATACTATCACTAGTATTAAGTATTCGTTTTTCTAATGTAAACCCAATAAATTTCATTGTGTAATGTAGGTATGCTTAAATTTACTTGCCTAGAAAATATAAGCTAATAGTTGTTATTATTATATATTTATCCTTCCCTATTGCGCAAGTAGTTTCTATATTCATTCATTATTTAAAATCACTTTCCAAAGGAGTTATTTGCCTAAAACTGTGCGTAAAATTTAAAAGAAAAATACTTTTGTGCTTAATTTATTTTTTATAAAAGTTACTTTCAATTTGACATTGGATGCAACATGGCGGATGGGCGGGGTTTAGTCGCTATTGTCGCCACTGTCTTGCATATAGCCACTGTACTTTTTACTACTTTGACACACTGCCCGCCGATCGTCTTGCTACTTATCTGCACACTGTTCTCACTTCAACTACTTATTTTCGACTATTTAGGCTTCCTTCCAGAATTTCCTACCTAAGTGCCTGTTTTTTGTGCTTCCTTTTATCGACCGCTAATATTACTTTTTCATTATTATACAACACTCATGTAACAGGTGACGTCGAAGTTGATAAGATAAGTACGGTTTTGCACAACATTTAACAAAAAAAAGAACATTAATAAATCTGTGACACCACCATTTTGCTTTACAACTGGAAAAGTACGGGTATTCATATTTTGCACGAAATTTTTCAATTCCGTCGTAAATTGTTTTGCACAAGCATGCCCCAAAACGTTTTCCATCGGGTTCATGTCCGGTGAGCTTGCTGGCCAATTCGGAACATCAGTTTGAGATGCGTTCAACCATTGTCGGGTGCTGCTACTGCGATGAGTTGGCTGTCCATCTTTCTGAAAGATGAGTGATTCGTCACCTGGATCCTCATAAAATGGGATCAAAACAGTGTCCAAAATTTCCTGATACTTTTCGCTGCTCATCGAATCGGAAGCAAACGCCACTAGCTGATTCTGTCCCTAAAATGCTTCCCGTACCATCAGGCCAATCAATAATCACGGATTGAACTTCTTTTCATCATTCCGTATGATTTTCAAAACAACAAAATTAAATTTGTGTTGATTGGTGATTGTCTAAGTGATTTCCAAAAAACGACACAATATTCCAATCTGTTTAATATTATCAACGGCAAATCGAGGGCCGTTTTCTTTGTGATTTGCCTTCAGAGACGATGCTTCCACTTGCTTAGCTCGAACGAAGAAAATCCAGTTTGCTAAAACTCGTCTGACAGTGCGAAGAGAGCTCTCAAGGTCGAAACTTTGTTTTGACTTGACGATTGGAGCTTGTTGAGATCGACGCTGCTTGAACGTCCTGCACGCTTAGTATGGGTTTCCTTCCGGAAGACTTTCTGGTATTACACAGACCTTGATTCCTCAGTATGCAAAGATTGCAACCAAATTCGATAGCAGTCTTACTATTAACAAGACCTTGATCATGCAGAATTCGAATTTTACCTTTTGAATATCTGAGAATTTACAACATTTTGCTATTTTTCGAAAATCAGAAAAGAACATACGAGAATCATAAAGCAATGCATATTTTGCCCAAGTTGAAAGGTCTTAAAATGCACAATATTTTTTTGAGTTGCCATAATTTTTTGATAAAGAATGCATTTATGCTGAAATTTTATGAAAATAAAGAAAACACCTTAATAAATATGGATAATTAATTTTGAAAAAAGTTATTATAAAAACTTCATTCAAATTGGAAGTAAATTTATTATTATTTCCAGCAGTGTAATTGTACTTAATGATTATCTTTATACGAGCATTGTTAACGTTTAGAATGGTCGCACATTAGATTTAATAAGAATTATAAATAAATCAAATACATGTATTTAATATTTTAAAATTCTAAATAAATTTTAATTTAAAAATTGGGGTACTAGATAAATAGGTACATTTAATCACATCGTTTTTCAGGAATGATTACCAGTGGATTCTTTTGGGGATATTTAAGCGACTCATTAGGCAGGAAGCGAATTATTACTTATGGATATTTTTTAAATGGACTTGTCGGTATAATGGGATCTATGTCGCCAAATATCCTCTTGCTAATGATAGCAAAATTTTTTAATGGATTATTGTTAGTAATTTTGACTCTACATATTATTATTATACATATTATAATTATTACATACAAGGTGTAACTGAAATAAGTATTCAAAATTTCTGAGCTTGTAAATCAAAGTCAAAAAATGACGAAAACTTTACTACAATTTTTGTCAGTGGCGGCTCCTAAGGGAGCTACGCTCTCCTAAAGGGGTAACCTCGGAAACAGTTTTTAATGCGTAACATCCAAACGGCTCGACATTAAGTCACGAAATTTTGGTGAGATATTAACCTTGACGTGCTTAATAAGTCTCATAAAATACATTTCAAAATTTGCTACAGGGGCGTGAGAAAATGCAGGACCCAGGGACAAATTTAATCATATCTTTTTTGTAGTCAATTTTTTCTAGTTCCTGACTCGAAAATATTGAAATTTGAAGTATTTAACATAAAAAAGGTCCTCTTGTTAAATTTCACTAGGATGTGCCGTTTTCCAGTAAAATCGATTTCAATCATTCCCAACGTGCTCCAAATTCAACTTTCATTACATAGCAAAATAAATTAATTGCAGTGTGCCATGGGGAAAACAACTAGTCTGACAGTTAACAGAAATGTCAAATATTTTTAACACTCTTAATAGTAACAAATAAAAATATGGTGATATAAATAAAAGCTAAAAAATAGATACATATGAGATTATTTATTAAACTATTGTAAGCGGCTGAAACTTTTACGTAACATTTTAACAGATTTAAACCATTTAGTTTAGTTTAACAAATTAACCAAATATCTTAATTTCTTTAGCAGAAAATGTGCCCTAGTCAAGAAGACAGACTAGATTCAACTTTCAAAATGTCCGCCGTTTGCCCTAATGCACGCACGTAACCTGTTTTCCAAAGAAAATAGGTTCCGGTATAGTTTGTGCTCCACATTGAGTTCATTAAATGCATTTTCTATACGCTGACGCAACTGTTCCTCATTGTCAACAGCTTGGAAATACACTTTTTGTTTCATTTGACCCCACACGTTAAAATCCATTGGGTTGAGGTCTGGTGACCGTGGAGGCCAATTTATGGCAGCATCATTTCCTCGGCCAATCCAGCGATTTGGGAAGTGCTCGTTTAACCACTGTCGACATTGACAGTTGAAGTGAGGAGGAGCGCCGTCATGCATGTACCATAAGGAACCTCGTCTTACCAAAGGAATATCCTCTAAAAATTCATACAATCTAATAGACAAAAGTTGATGGTACATTGCTCTGGTTAAATTTCCAGGCATGATGTGATATCCAAATAGATTATTTCCTAATGTGGCAGCCCTAACATTTATTTTAAATGAATGCTGATAATGGGTTACCTTCCGAGCATTAGGATTTTCTTCGGCCCACATATGTTCATTGCGCATATTAAAAACACCGCTTCTGGTAAAGGTAGCTTCATCGGTAAAAATAATATTCGATAGAAACATCGGATCTTCGGCTTGCCTGTCTAAAACCAACTGACAAAACTGTCTGCGCATGGGCCTGTCCTGTGGTAAAATGTCTTGGGCCTGTCTATAATGATAGGGATACAATTGTTGTTCTCTCATTATCCTCCATACTGTCATATGAGACATGTTATTTTGAACTGATAGTCGTCTTGTACTAAGTGTGGCGTTAGCTTCAACTAAATTTAAAATATTTTCCTCATTCAGGACATTTCTAATTATTCTACGCCTGCCTCTCTCAAAATTGTTCCTTTTTAACGTACCCCGTTCTCGCAAACGCCTTTCTGTGCAAAGAAATGTTTTGTAATTGGGCACATTTCTGTTGGGGAACTTTTCACCGTATCGTTGTGCGGCTGCTCTTGCGCTTCCATGACATTCACCTAACGTCAAAAGCATATCTACATACTCAGAAAATGTATACTGTTGCATTTTTAAATTATTTGATATTTTTATTTACTATAAAACGGCACTGCGAATACTCAAATGACACAAATTTGAAACTAAAAATACTTGACATTTCTGTTAACTGCCAGGCTAGTTGTTTTTCTCATGGCACACTGCAAATAATTTATTTTGCTATGTAATGAAACTTGAATTTGGAGCACGTTGGGAATGATTGAAATCGATTTTACTGGAAAACGGCACATCCTAGTGAAATTTAACAAGAGGACCTTTTATATGTTAAATACTTCAAATTTCAATATTTTCGAGTCAGGAACTAGAAAAAATTGACTACAAAAAAGATATGATTAAATTTGTCCCTGGGTCCTGCATTTTCTCACGCCCCTGTAGCAAATTTTGAAATGTATTTTATGAGACTTATTAAGCACGTCAAGGTAAATATCTCACCAAAATTTCGTGACTTAATGTCGAGCCGTTTGGATGTTACGCATTAAAAATTGTTTCCGAGGTTACCCTTTAGGAGAGCGTAGCTCCCTTAGTAGCCGCCACTGACAAAAATTGTACTAAAGTTTTCGTCATTTTTCGACTTTTACTTTACAAGCTCAGAAACTTTGAATACTTATTTCAGTTACATCTTGTATATTACCGCTTTATAGTTCAAAAAATATTTTTTTCATAGAAAATATATTTTCCTTTTAGAATTAATGGTCCCTTTGAGTCAGCTACATCATATTTATCAGAGTTCCACTCTGCAAAATACAGAGCTAGAGTACAAATGGTAAGAGGAATAATACTAAGTTTTGGTAATGTGCTGTTACCTCTGATTGCATGGGGCATTCTGCCAAGAAATTTAGACTTTAAAATTTTCGATTTCATTGGTAAAATTAAGCACAATACAATACTAAGTATATGAAACTATATTTTTAACACGACTTTCAGATATCCACGCCTGGAACGTATTTTTGTTGATATGTACACTAACAACGATTTTGGGTGCAACAGTGTATCTCTTTATGCCAGAGAGTCCTAAGTTTTTGATGAGCGCGGGAAGGAATGAAGAAGCTCTCAAGGTATTTGAAACGGTGTACAGGATTAACACAGGGAGACCAAGAAATACCTTTCCGGTAAGTTTTTCACAATTACATAAGTTTTTCGAATTAGCAATGACAAAATATAAACGTATTCTAAACATTGGGTATTTTTCAATCTCTCCTAAATATGGAATTAAGCATAAAGAAGTTCAAAAAAGTGATAAACATTGTATTTTATGGTATTCTATGCACGCAGTTATGTCGATATTCCTTAATTAATACATGAAGAGAATTTGATAATTGTTTTCTCGGAAATGGTTGAGTTTAGGATCCATGTCATATAAGGCTTGGTTGTTTATTTTATTGTATTCCATCGTCTGTTAAAATTAAGGCAGTCAAACTTCTAACACCCTGTATTATCGACAGATATTAATTCACTTGTTCTTTCGTAGCTATACTCCGCGGTCGAAATTATAGAGAGTGATTCAGATATAATATAAAAACACAATTACCATAATGCGTATAAAATATAAAATGATTTTTATACGGTTCAATATGCCGCTCGCTACGCACATCGACAAAATCTATAATCGTCTATAGACTGAGTTACACTGAACGTCGATCTATATTCTATCTCTGTCTTTTGCACTTGGTAGGGAATAGGGAAATTCTTTTTTATTGGGTGTAAACGGACTTGATTTATCCGTCCTGAGAAACGTCATAGCATAAGCGTAGACGAGGGGTCTAATTCCATGGCTATAATAAACTTATAAATTAAAAACAAAACACAACTAGGACGTTTTAAAATGCTGTAATAATTAAAATGGTTCAAAGTGCCGGTTATAGCAAACCGTAAAAAAAATATTAGATGTTATGTTTTATTATCTTTTTTCAATATTTTCTATATCTTGTTGCCTTTTCTGCAGACACGCCAATGGATTTTCGTTCCCGGCACGCTTCATCCCCCTTACTAGTCCAAAAGCTAGCGATGAGTCACTGTCTATAATTTCGACCGCGGAGTATAGTGAATTAAAACTTGAAAATATTTTATCGTGTAGCAAGTATGATAAAAAATTATTTTTTATCACATTTTAGATCAAGTTTTTAGTCGCAGAAACAAACAACACTACTAAAAAAAGTACTGCTGAGGCTTTATTGGAAGGTATGCATGAAATAAAATCATTGTTTCAACGGCCTTACATTTTCAAATTACTACTCGCTTGTACCAACTGCTTTTTGATTATGATGAGGTAAGTATTTCAATTTATCAAACATTATTTAATAAAGTGTACATCTATATTTTCAGTGCAAATACCTTAAAATTGTGGTTACCGCAACTTTTTCAAGCAATCAATGATTTTCAATACAATCATAATGGTATGAGTTCCGATTTATGCACCATGCTGGAAGACTTGACTCCAACAAATTCTTCAACTGGAACTTGTTCAGTCGTAAGTAATAACAATGCTTCAATACATTTTCTACTACTGTTATACCTTTAAAATTCTCTGTGATATTATAACAAACCATTGGACTTTCCAATTAGCAATTTCTTTCCAATTCGAAATGTCTTAACTACTTCTCCACAACTATTTTTTTTCAGAATTTAGATAACAAATCTGTATACATTAACTCTATAGTAGTGGGCGCATCAAGAATAGTTGCTTTTCTAGTGGCTGGACCATTTGTAAATATGCTGGGAAAAAAGAAACTGATAAGTAAATATATACCTACATTTTTTAATCATGAAGACATTGTCTTTTGGTTTCAGTTTATTATTGTTGTACAACGTTTCATGTTTTGAAAAATGGTACTATAAATTCAGGAGCTGGTAAAACATAAGATTTTTTCTAAAAACCGTGTGCCTTTTGTCTTTGAGACAGTTCGTTAATAATATTTTTAACCAAATCATAATGAAACAGTGGAGTGCACTAAAATTTACCTCAGATAATTTTTACCTAGTACTGTCATTTTCTAACTTAAATTTTTTGAGGTTAAGTTCTTCACAGTGCACGCCCTTACTATAATATAAATTTTCATTTTACTTGCCAAAGGAATTAGAAAAACGCAACTGACTGAGCAAAGTCAACTAGAATTATGTAATACCTACATATTCAGGGTATCCAAAAACAAATGACCAATATGATAGCTTGCTTGGATATACATAAAGGGCCTTCAAAAAATCGTTTCTTATTCCATTTCAACTAATTAATACCTACCTACTAATATAACTTTTTATGCAGCCAAATTGTACTAATATAAATTGATCTAAATCAGTTTTTTTCATTAAAAGAATTAAAGCCCCCATCCGTTTCCATCCATGTATATTAAGGAATTCAAACTGATTTACTTTGGGACAGTGAATAATGTTTTTCTCAAAAACTGTATGTGTTCATCTAATGTAAGGGTACTCCTTTCATGTAAAATTAAATTTTATATTGTAATAACTTATTACAAGGAATATGTACCCAACTTGTCATCGAAAAGGTTATGTCATCAAATGCTACTGGAAAAGGTCAGCGACCTCTAGTAGATGATCAAAAACTAATAACGTAGCATAACTAGCGCCCTCACAAACTTACCCGTTCCAAATTTTATTGCATTTTGTTTTTTGGAACAAGTATAGCTAAAATTTGATTGTCAAAAATTATTTTTAACACCCCAATACACATCTCAAAAGTAAAACGTTAGTATTATGATGGCCCTTAGGAAAAGATCTTTTTTATGGTCCTGAATTTATGGCATTTTTTCCAGAACTCCCTGTATATACATGTTTTCATCAAACATTATATTAATTTTACTTACCGATTGTCATAATAATATGAAGTTGTTTCAAAAAGCAATAACTTAAAAAACTATTAGGTAAAGAACAAACTTAATATGAAATTTTTTCAGTTATTATGACCGTTTTTGCCGGAAGTTTTTCAACTTCGATATACTTCGCCCAGGACTCATCAACTGTGTTAGTTTTGTCATCTATGAATTTAGCATTTATCAGTGTCAGTGAAAACGTGCTAAGTACAGTAACACTGGAACTGTTTCCGACAACTCTAAGGTATTTTTTTATTCCATTGATTGTAAAATAGTCAGTAATGTTATTCGCATCAGTCTGACTGTATGAATTTTTCATTAACGATGAGCCTTTAGAAAAGTATTTATAAAATACTGAATTTCTTTTTCTATCCAGGACAGTATCGCTTTCTCTGCACATGATGAGTGGACGAATAGGAACAATACTTGGTAACGTTATTTTCTCATATTTACTGTATACTGGATGTGCACCACCTTTTGTATTCATCGGACTACTTGCATTTGGTATAATACATATTTTAATAAATAAACAAACAGAAAGTAACTGTTTTTATTTTTAGGATGTGCTGGTCTCTCTTTGTTGTATCCCAATACAGAAAACAAAGAATTGCGATGATCCTAAGTTCCTTTAGTAAATATATAAATAGTTAATTTATTGTACTTGTGATCCAAATAAAGTTTACTATCACCGGATAATATTTTTTGTTCACTGCTCGATTTTTAATGTGAAATTTAATTTAAAACAAATCTCCAAAAAGGACTGGTAAACTTTTTAACATTTCAGGTTTTTAAGCCCACTCATAAAACTGCTTTCAATAATCACTTTTTATAAAGAGGGGCAGTTCCAATGAAGAACAACTTACTGAAATTTATTTTACACTTACGAAAGATGAATTAATTTAGTTGGGATATCTCACTATATACATTTATTTTTTTTAAAATAGTAGTGAAAGTAATATTGAAAAACGAGATTAAAACAGTATTGGTATTGCTAACAAAATATATCCGAGGATGAAATATCCAGTTTCAAAATTACTTCTGACGAAGAGAGCAAACGCCGATAAGTCTAAACTAAATAAGTACAAAATTATTTACAGATAATTTGGGCGTGCATAGGATAACCTTTAAATATTCTTTTAGAACTGCTTCAGATATTTATTATTTGCTCGCCGTTATTGAAAATCGTCACTCATCCATTAGATCTATCTCACAATCAGCCAACTTCAACTTGTCGAAGTCCTCAGTTCACAGAACTCTGAAGTCTCAAAAGTGGCATCCTTATAAAGTTAACGTCTTACAAGAACTATGTGCAGATGACACTGACAGAAGATTATAGTTTTGCAAGGAAATTAGAAATTTATTTGAAAGACAACCCAAAAATCACTTAATTTTTACTGACGAAGCAACTTTTTGCTTAAACGGAACCGTGAACAGGCAAAATACTAGGTTTTGGAGCACAGAAAGTCCACATAGGATGCAAGAAAAACATACACAACGTCCGGAAAAGTGAATGTTTGGGCTGGAATAGTAGGAAATCGCATACTGGGACCTTATTTCTTTGAGAGCAATTTGATAGGCGACATTTATTTAGATTGTTTGCATTTTCAGCTAATTCCAGCCCTGGAATTAATTTTTCCTTACCCTAACGAGCACGATTTGCCTGCTGATTATGTCTGGTTCCGACAAGATGGTGCCCCTCCACATTTTCCCTCGATGTAAGAAATTACCTTAATGAAATTTTCCCAAATCGATGGATAGGCAGAAGAGGGCCGCTTGAATGGCCACCACGCCCCCCTGACTTAAATCCACTAGATTTTTTTGCGGGGTTATCTAAAAAGCAGTGTATGTCAACAGACCAGACACTATTGAAGTATTGAAAAATTGTATCAGAGAAGAAGTTCGAAACATAACACCAAACGTAATTCAAAATGTAATTGATAACTTTGAACACCAAATATTTGCTGTAATATAAAAAAGTGGTACTAAATTATTGTTTTCATTTAATTCCTCCATTTTTTGACAACTATTATGACAAAAAAATAGATATAACCTTATATCACTAAATTCGTTTTTAGAAGGGCTATCTATTTATACCCACTATAAAATATAGAGCGTCCTATTAAAAAAAATGTCGGTAATGTTATAGGTATGTCAAACATGGCTCAAAGAAATATTGCAGAAAAGAGAAAATTTCATTTTACTGATTGATCTGTTTCAGCGATTTTTTTAAATTTCAACTGGAAAAAATATGAATTTGTATCCATCATTTTAGGACATACTGTATATATTTCTTAATTTATTCGACCATCATCATCTCTCATGAACCTAAAACAATTTTACAATGGATGAAATAAACACTCCAATAAACTCCTTAAATACTAGCCTTTGACAACTTAAGTTAACATAAAGTAAAATTGAAATAATTAGGAATGACGTGAATGAATACTGTTGTCTTAGTAATACTCCGATTGTTTGCCTGACTATAATTGTTAAATTTTCACGCATATTGTGTAATCTGAAGCAACAATTTCGATCGATAATCTATCAATGAATTAATTCAATTATTTGATCAATAAAGATAATTTAATTAATTAAACTAATAAGAAAGATAATTTGTTATGAATTAAAAATATAAACAATGTTATACTGACAAGAAACTTCTGAAATTTTTAAACTAATGTTAACGAATCCATAATGTATAAACGATTTGTTTATAGAGCTTGAAAAATTTAATCCTTTCTAATAATTATTTTCATTTCTTCAACAACACTTCTGTTTTACACGAGAGATCTTCATAATCATTTATATTCGGCTTTAATCTTAGCACCATTATTTAAAAACTGCTAATATTTATTTAATAAAATAAACGTTCTTAAGATGCTTACGTTTTTAAGATACGAGGATAATTCCATAATAAAAAGTGATTTATATACCAACTACTAGTTGTAAAACTAATAAAAATATGGTTATTATGTAGCAGTAAAATTAGGTAATACCTGATATTACAAAATATGACTAAAAATATGTTAATAGTATCAGAGGCTGTGCCCACAAAGTGTCAAAAATCTGAAAGTAAGTTTACATTTTCATTATCAATATCAATTTAAAAAATATACAGGGTGTAACTAAATAAGTGTAAAACATTTAAGGGGGTGATTCCTCATCGAAAAAAAGATAGGATCTTTCATATAAAGAAACTTCATTGGAGCATCCCTTGTTAAGATACAGCCCCTTAAAGGGGGTACATAAAATTTGTTTAACAATTTTTTTCACAAGCACTAAACAAGTTACAATATTGAAATTAACCTGACATTTTCTACTACCAAAAAGACACTTAGCCAGTAATTTATTTGGTTTACCCCATGGTTGTAAGGGGTGGAAAACGCAACCCCTAAAATTTATTTCCAACGTAATTTTTTGTCTTATTATTTTTTTACCATTTAAAAATTTATTTCCGATAGCCTGTTTCATTCTAAAAAAAAATGTCTCTTGAATTTTTTGCCCAAATTAAACCAGTTCGCAGCAAAAAATTATTTTACGAACAAGATACATATCGCCATAAAACGAAAATACGAAACTAATTTATCTAGTAGGCCGCCATTAGCGATACTGACAATTAAATTGGAATCAAGCTGTCAGTTTGTAAATTTTTGAAATTGAAGTAATACTAATTGTGTATTGTTCTGTTCTTAATTTGTTACTTTAATAATTCACTTGTTATTAAAATGGCATACACAAATGAGGAAATGGCTGATATGCATTACGTTTACGGTCTGTCGCAGGGGAATGGGTTAGAAGCTTCTACAAGATATGCTGAAATGTATCCTCAACGGCAGCATCCTTCACATAGAATATTTGTCTGACTTCATCAACGATTACGTGAATATGGTTCATTCAACAAAAGAACGCAGGATTGTGGTCGCCATCGAGAAGTAAGAACACCACAGCTTGAGGCAGCAGTACTTAATTTGATAGAAGAACAACCTACTACCAGTACTAGAAAGATTGCTTTCCAGCTAAATGTTGATCATATGACGGTATTTCGAATTTTAAAGGAACATCTCTTATACCCTTACCATCTGCAACGAGTACAGGCACTGTTACCGCGAGACTTTCCGAACCGTCTTGAATTTTGCAATTGGATGCTGGAAATGATTAGAAGAAATCGTGACTTTCTGAAGACGATCGAATTCACAGACGAATGTAGTTTTTCTCGGGACAAGATTATTAATTTTCATAATTACCACATATGGGCTGATGAAAACCATCACGCTATTGTCGAAACTAACCATCAAGAACAGTTTTCTCTTAAGGTGTGGGTCGGAGTTATTGGGGATTATTTAATTGGGCCTCATTTTCTACCTCCTCGATTAAATGGTGAGGCATACGTTCAATTTTTAAGAAAAGTGCATCCCCCCGTACTGCTGGAGGAAGTTCCTTTGGGCGTCAGAAGGGATATGGTTTTTATGCATGATGGGGCTCCCGCCCATTTTAGTCAAGTAGCACGTCAGCATTTAACTGAAACATATGCAAATCAGTGGATAGGTCGAGGAGGACCACAGAATTGGCCCGCTCGATCCCCGGATCTCAATCCTCTGGATTTGTCTACTTGGGGCCATTTGCAGCATTTGGTTTATCGTACTCCTGTTCGCGATGTAGAGGACTTAAGAAACCGCATTATCGATGCGTGCAGGGTAATTAGAGAGACTCCAGGAATATTTGAGCGAATACGTGGCTCAATGCGCCGACGTCTAGACGCATGCGTAATGTCTGAAGGTAGACATATTGAACATTTACTATGATTTCTACATGTTGTATGTTTTGTTATTATTAAATTAGTTTTGATTATTCCCCTTTAATCATTTAATGCAGGTAGTAACTACAAAATAACAGTAAATCCAGTCCGCATTTATGACGATGTATCTCTGTAGTTGTTCGTAAAATAATTTTTTACTGCGAACTGGTTTAATTTGGGCAAAAAATTCAAGAGACATTTTTTTTTAGAATGAAACAGGCTATCGGAAATAATTTTTTAAATGGTAAAAAAATAATAAGACAAAAAATTACGTTGGAAATAAATTTTAGGGGTTGCGTTTTCCACCCCTTACTACCATGGGGTAAACCAAATAAATTACTGGCTAAGTGTCTTTTTGGTAGTAGAAAATGTCAGGTTAATTTCAATATTGTAACTTGTTTAGTGCTTGTGAAAAAAATTGTTAAACAAATTTTATGTACCCCCTTTAAGGGGCTGTATCTTAACAAGGGATGCTCCAATGAAGTTTCTTTATATGAAAGATCCTATCTTTTTTTCGATGAGGAATCACCCCCTTAAATGTTTTACACATATTTAGTTACACCCTGTATATATCCGTATTCACGTGTTTAAATTAATTTAACACTTTTAAAAAACAGTAGAAATCATTAAGTATCGGGTGATTCAAAATTTTAGAAATTTTCGCCATTTGTGAAGTAAAGTGTTGCGAACCAAAGAAAAGACAGCGTGACAACCGACAGTTCAGGGTCATTAAAAATGGAGCGCTACACGAGAGAACAACGCGTTTTCATTGTTTAGAAATATTTTTAAAATAATGAAGGCTCTGGGCAGCTAAATTCTCGCTCAATGGTCGAAATAGTGATTTAACTTCATCAATGTTAATTGAAAAATTCAGGGAGACTGGGACATCAATTTGACATCATTTCTAGGCTTCTCGAGTGCTCAAAATTCAAACAAATTCCGATCTATTTTTTTTTCAGGATATTCATACAAATACATATGACATGCTCTTTCACAGTTGCAGTTACAGATATAATAAAATCCAATAATATTAAGCTGATCTTCATTTTTAACCTCTGCTAAAACGAAAATGTTTTTGAACATTTACTGAAATTTTTTAAAGAATAATATTCAGTTGGCGTTTTGTTTGCATATGCATTTTTAAGAATTAATTTGTCATAAAAAAATTAAAATTGTAGTAATGTTTTAATTTTGATGCAACAACTTGTTGAGTTATGTGTGACCAGTGATGGTAATAGTTAATAATAATAAATGTTTTATTGTAACGCGTGGTGGTAATAGTTTAAATAATTAGATGAATTTCACAGGGTCTAACGACACTTACAGTGTATGATAATTCAATAAACAAAGAAAACTAAATAAAAAATTTAGATAAACTTGGAACGAATTCACTGAAGATGAATTTTTCGAGACTAAACGTCTGAATCTTGTTCGGGCTGAGGCAGTACAGTATTGAGGGTCATGAAGGCTTGCAAAAATTGTAATAAAATTCCTAGGGTCGTATTTAAAAAAATAAATGGTCCTGGAGAGACGAAACGTTACATACAAAAATTGATTATGCCATTCGATAGAGGGTAAAAAGTGGCCGTGAGAAAGTGTTGTTCTTTTTTCAATATCACCTCAAACAAGGCTGAAGTGAAACAAAAACGGATTTCCAAAATTTCGTTTTTTTTCAAATATTTCGAAAACTAATCATGTTAGCCTTGATTTTTTAGAGGTATAATGTTAGTCCCCTGATTACGCAACTTTGACCCCATTTAAGCTATTTCGTACCTCTTACCGTTTCCGAGATCCCTGTAGTGAAAAGCGAATTTGTAACAGCCTGTATAGTTTACACATAAAGAGAAAACTGCGAAATCATCAGATTAGCGAAACAAAATAACTTTTTAGGCATTAAGTAATTCATAATATTCTGATAAATACATCAAACACCACCTATATAATTTTATCTCAATATGTAAACGGTGTTTTCCAATGCAGCACATGTGGAAATTTGCAATTCAAAATCAAGAATTCGGCAGATAACATCAAAGCAATCCACTCAAAACGTGTGATAATCGTAATAGCATCGAATATTGTAATATCATCTTTTGTAGTATTTTTAAAAGCAGTTCTAAAAATGTTTTTAAGGCTTAAAACGTAAATTTAACATTTTTAAAAATAAGCCTTGTCAAACATTTCAGAATAGAAACAGTGAATATACCCTTTATATTTCTCTAATACTATTTTATATTTTGATAATTATTACAATATAATATTTCCTTCTGTTTCAAAAAACTTGGACATTTTATTGCAACTGAACCAAAAGAATATTTTAAAAAGGATAAATGTATTCGTTGGAAGCAAAAAATTCTAGTCGTGGATTTGCAAAAATCTGTTCATTAGACACTATAAGATAAAAAATTCATATCTAATAGATACCACTGACAACGTCTTCAAGTGGATATTATTGATTTTAAGTTTACTATAAGCTGCATTTCTTTGAAATTGTTAAAAAGTGTCAGTCAATCAGCTAATAGTGATATCTACCAGTCAACTTAGATTCTTCAGCTTGACTTTTTAGTTTTTGGGCTCGCTGAATCCAAATCCGGTGTCTGTTTGACTCGATCAGCTCTGGTTGAATTTCACTTGAAGGTCAATGTAGAGAATCAATTGCCAACAAAGTAACCATACATACGAGTATCTATACGTTTTTGGGGTCGGTAAATCTGAATCCGATATCCGTTTGATCCCATCAGGTCTGCGATAAGGTCAGTTCAAAGTCAAATGTAAAGAATCAATTGCCCACAAAGTAAAACTACATATCTATACGTTTTTGGGGTCGGTGATATTCAACTTTTTTTGTGGGGCTGTGATTATTACTTTTTTAGTTCCTTGCTTATCAACAGCAAAAATATTTAATTTATTATTCAAATGCTGAAATATGGTGTAATATGCTGTACATAAATTGTACAAACCTGGAACATTGTTAAAAGAAATGAATTTTCTCTGGATAAATATGTCAACTAATCGATTGAAACATTTAAATAGAGAAAGTCTAAATTCGCATAATTTTTATCGCCAATCAAATACTACATATAAGTTGAGAGCCGCTGTCAAAGCTGTATGGATATGAAGCTCAAAGAGTATATGAGATAATCAATACAATCTTAATTATTGTTACGATATAAATAATTAGTAATATTGAAATTGAACTGTAAAATAGTGTAAAATGTATGCCACTCTCAGTGGAGACCAACACATCATAAATTAGTAAGGCTTATTTTTATAGTATAATGGATTTGTTATTAAAAGGTACGTACCTGATAATGTATAAATCAATATTAAATCCGTGTTGACATTATGAAATACATTTCACGTACTTTTTAGAGAAGACACCGTCAACTTTTGAAAATGCCGTCACTGTAACCGGATTTGGAAAATTCAACATTCTACTACTTTTGGTAATTATACCAGCAAATTTTGCATCTGTGTTCGAAACCACTACAATGTCCTTCATCTTTTCACCAGCCCAGTGTGACTTGGATTTGTCGCTAGAAGACAAAGGATTTCTGAATTCAATCACGTTTATAGGTAAGCGAACTGCAATTATATTTTTTTAATTCTTCAGGTAGGATCACAGATAGATACAAATTTGCAACCACTATGTAGGTATTTTTGTTACACTATGGTGGTTAATTTGTTTTCTAAAATATCGCATTCCTAAAATTAAAAATTATTGATTCAATTTAAAATAACGGAATAAATGAATGAAACACCTAAGTAAAAAGGGAAAGAATTAGTTAAGTTTCATAACTTTGCACTACAGAAATGTTATGTAATATGGCTCTTCTGTATTACATTGAAAGAAATGGACTTATGAAACTGTTTCTCTACAACAATGTGTATAGCGCATATGAAAACTTTTATAAAAAAGTATACGTATAACTTTTATTTAAAAAAAACATCTCATATCCATGCTCATTATTTAATGACTTTAATTGGAATGCACTTAATACACCTTATACATATAAGAAATAAAGGTTATAATAAATTACTTATAAAATGTTATGTCTTATACACTTTATGTTTGAATTGCAAGATTTGTTGTATAAAGACCAATATCCTAACTTGTATACAGGGTGTTTCTTAAGTAGAGGTAGAAAGTCCAGGGGCGTATTCTGTGGCCAAAAATAAGGATTTTTTGATATATAAATGTGGGGTCTTAGGACAGCGATTGTCAAGCTACGTGTCAAAAATTTAAAAAAAAATCAGTATTTAATTTTTAATTTCTAAACCGCTTGATATAATTTAACAAAATTCGGTGTGCATGTTTAGTATGACACTAGGTATGAAACAAATAATTACCAGCTTTAGAAACTTACCAGTGGCGGAGGTGTGGGTATCATCGATCATTATTTGTCAAAAATAAAATATATCACCCTGTATAATGTTACAAATAATATAGGTCATCACATGCGCCATTCTATTATCTTCAATTTTTGTTTCTTTGCATTTTTTTGTATTCCAAATCAATTAACACTGATTTATTTGATCAAGTGCATTTTTACACAAATACTTAAATTACTTAAACATAAATGTTATTATGTTTCCGTTTTTAACGTGTAAAATGCGTCTTATAATTAAGTGATCGTCACCTCTCGGTGCATAAGCGGATACGATCATAAAAAAGGGTATGCAGCAGTTTAATACGTTTACTATTATAAAACTTAGTACCCGATGTTTTAATAACGAGTATGAAACATTTAAATAACGGTTATAGCTACCATTTCGTGAACAACGTTGTACATCAGTTATACAATAATTTAATAAGAATGTGGTTCAGAATCACTATACAACTGTGTTACCAACACGCATTTTATATACAATATTCATCTGTTTGTCACATCTAGTATACAATTTTTTTAGAATTAATTCTAATGAAAATAGAGCACATTTCTTTCAGTGTAGTTTAGCATGATACACTTGTACTGCCGAGTTAAAATTTAAGCTAGCTACAAATAATTATGTTGATATTCATTTTATAGATGAATTTTTTAGGAATGATATCAGGTGGATTAATATGGGGATTCCTTTTCGATACCTTAGGAAGAAAGAAACTTTTAGTTTGCGGATATCTGTTGGATGGCACTTTCGTATTTCTCAGCGCATTTTCTCAATCAATTACTCCGCTGATTATCTGCAAATTTCTTGGAGGATTCATGTAAGTGTAGTTATCACATCCACTTTGTGACAGATAAATTCATTGATATAAATCACAATAACATTAATACTCCATTTTTATAAGTACATTATTGTCAAATAAAACTATGGTCCTTCAATAAATATTTCATGAGATATCATTACTTGTATGTATGTTATGTGAAATATGAAATCAGTTACCTATTTTCAATTGATTGATCCATTGGTATATTATATTATTTATCCCAAATATTGTTTGACTGTTCCTTTTCCTTTATAATTTTTAAAATAGCATTTGTTGTAAAGCAAATATATCTAATAAAATAGATTATTTTAGAATTAATGGGCCATTTGCTGCTATGAGCGCGTATTTATCAGAATTTCATTGTGCCAAGTATAGATCAAGAATACAGCTTACAATTGGTACTGTAAATACCATAGGAACGATAATATTGCCTCTTCTGTCTTGGGCGATATTACCACGTGCTTGGGAATTTTCTTTGTTTGGAGGAGGTAAAAACCAACAAATATATACAAGATGATTTGTCCCAGGTCCGATAGCTCGTTAATAGAATTTTTTTCAATCTATAAATGCAAGGGTTACTAGATGGCATTATTTCAAAGCTCAAATCCAACTTTTCTGAAGCAAATTGGAATAATTTTTTTTTTCTCAAGGGTGCTTTGGGACTCTTAAATTTTATCCTATGAATAAATTTATAAAATTCCTTAACTTTTGATTTTATTTTAATTCAATAATAATATTGTAACAGATAATTTACTTGTACCTGAAGAAAAATAAGGTTTCCAGAATTCTTAAGTCTCAATTATTAATACCACTTAGGAGCCATATCAACAAGATGTATGGAATCAAAACATATTTTCCGTAATGAAGCTATAGGGTCGAGAAATTTTGCGAATCACCCTCTACATGTTTTGTTATTAACGTATTAACAATTTTTAGTGTATCATTCGTGGAACGTCTACCTTCTCTTATGCAGTATTCCTGCGTTTTATAGTGGTATTGTTTTCTTATTCCTTCCTGAGAGCCCCAAGTTTTTGATGACAACTGGTAAAAATGAAAAGGCTTTGAAAATCTTTAGAAAAGTCTATAGAATCAATTCTGGTGAACCAGAAGAGAGTTTTCCCGTAATTATTCCAAAGAGTAGTGGGAAAAAAATATTCTCATAACTATGATATAAATTGTAGATAACAGAATTAGTCGATGAAACAGCTATTCCAACTGATAGCAAACACGGGGGGAAAGTGACAGCAAACAGAACAAAAATTCAGGCCTTAAAAGAAGGTTGGCAACAGATAAATCCATTATTCCATTCACCATATTCAATTAAAATGGTGTTGGTTTGTCTTATACAGATATGTAATCTTCAAAGGTAAGAACGGTTACTAATATTAAAAACATTCTTTAAAAATTTGTTTACATTTTAGTGTCAGTATGCTGCGATTGTGGCTGCCAGAAATGTTTCAAGCTATTGAGGACTACAAGTTGCATCACAATGGTAGCACTGATAGCTTATGTACAATGTTGCAACAATTAAAACCAAACAAAGCCGTTACTGGTTGTACTATCGTAAGTACAAAATATATTCAATTGATGAATGTCCGACGTACCAAGTTGTCGTTGAGCTTTAGCTCCTGAGTTAACAGAGTTCTGAATGGGTGCAGATGCAGATCTTTCTAAAAATTCTGAACATGGTGCTTTTGGCAATGTTTAGCTGTAGTAACCAAGAACATACTGAGGTTTCTAGACACTACATCACTCCATCTCTAACAGCCGCAATGTTTTCGACTTTTTTCTGTTGCTGTAATCTAATTTATCGCGTTTTTGAAGATCGTCACTCGCTACTTCATTGTGTAGATAGACAATAGTTTATAAGGTGTTTGGTCGTGTCCTGCTCCATATCGACTAACCGCGATGTGCTACAAAATGTCATATCACAGAATGCTGCCAATATAGAGGAAAAATGGCACAAAATTCAATTCCTGCACTCACTTTGAAACACCTTGTATTTATTTCTTCTTTTATTTATACACAACTTGAAAACTTGTTGTAGGTGTATATTATTTTAATGTTAATTAATTCTGTTTCAGAATATGGATAATGCTCCAGTCTACATTAATTCCATTATTGTGTCATCTGTATCTTTAGGAGGATATTTGGTAACAGGATCTATAATCAACTTGATAGGAAAGAAGAAAATTTTAGGTGAGTACAGTATTCGCCCAATTTTCCCTTACTTTTGTCAAACTATAAAATTTATTTTAGTTATCCTTGGCTTCCTATCTAGTATTTCAAGTTGCAGCTTGTATATATCACAGAATAACGCAACAACCATAGCTCTTTCGTCAGTTTTTACTGGTATGATGAGCATCTGTATCAATGTTATTTTGTCTGTCGTCGTAGCAATTTTCCCTACAACACTAAGGTGAGTTCAATTCGTTTTAATGTTTTTGAACAATTCAGATAACAATTTCGAAAATATAAAAAAAATGCATGAATATAGTGTTTTATTATTTATAGTTCTTGCCTATTGGTTGAAATGATGCTTTAATTTTACTATCATTTTTATAAAAAAAATTTGGAATATGGAAGCAGGAATTTCCATGTCCATGTAAATAAAATCATGTGATACTATACAACATTACATACTTACAGAAATATGATGACAGGGTGCTTCAGAAACAAATGTCAAAGTGTTAATCACCTAATTGACGCATCAAAAGCAACATCCTGAGCGTAATAAATTATTCGACGTTTTGTTCCCATTAATATTAGTGCTAACGAGATGCCTATGAGTTACAGAAATATCTAAGTAACCTGTTCAACTGTTATATTTACTAACTTAAAACTTTTTGTTAGGCCCAATACTTGGTGTTAATTAGTTTGCATTTCTGTACTTCTTTTTGTATAATATTAACTCAACAAGTTTATGGATTTATACTCCCTTAGGTGGTAAGAAGAAATTAATTTAAAAAAATTGTGTTCTTAGAAAAAAAATTTAATTGTTGCTTTTGAGTTAGTGGTAAAAATGTTCATATTTACTTATAGGATGTATGTTGCAGTCGTACTGTATCTACTACAAATATGAATTAAATATGCTATCACAGCGCTACGTAAAAAAAAAGATAAGATTAGATAAAATAAAGTAAAACATGTGTACTAAGGAGGATAGTACTTGACATTTGGAACTGTATTTAAGAGACGCGATATTTTCGTATGTATTTTTCACTTACAATTAGGTATACAAATTAATGTATTTCAATGATACCAGTTGTAATACGCCTCTGTTCTTTTCTGAAATATTTTGTATCTATTTCTAAGAAAAAATTCCTTAGTTCTAACTTTACTTGTAAATGTGTTAAAGATAAAACTTATTATATTAAATATATAGGATGGTCACTTTTAAGGTGTACACCATTATCATAAAAAAAAATTGACAGTTCTGTTTAAAAGTAAACGAACTGTCATTTACTGCTGTAAATAAGTATTCAAGTGTTTTTATTATTTATTTGTAATGTAATAAACACAATATTCAAAAAGTGAAAAGACTGACATGAACAATCTTTACTTGCAATGTGACAGAAAGTAAGTCACAAATTTGCATTGCAAACTAAAATTTCTTGAATGATCATCATGGACAATGAAACATTGTTTACGAATAGTAGTGGAATGTTTAGGAAACAAACACATTTACACTATCAAAAAAGTTCACAAATTCGGTTTTCTGTAAATATTTGTTGAAGCACTTTCCACGACCAGTTATAGGTCCTTACTTTATTCCACAATTTAACTGATAAATCATATTTTTAGTTTCCAAGAAATGATTTTTAAGAAATTCTAAATAAGATATCTTTTGAAAAATTGAAAAACTTAAACTAGTTTCAGTAAAATTGTAATACCAGAATTGTTAAACAATTTTTGTATGATCGTTTTGGATTCCTGTATTGGAACTAATAGTCCTAAACTTTGGGCGTCAAGATCGCCTTGTTTATATTCCTCGGATGATTTTCTCTGGAGATTTGTAAAGAATATGTAAAGACCAGTTCAGCGTATCGAACAATTGCGAGTAAAAATAGTAGAAGTGCTTCAATCAGTTTCACTGAAAACAATTCAAGATTCAGTAAGAAACATTACTTGTGGAATACTTTTTTGCATCGAATATAGCGGGGAATATTGAACAAGGCATTGTTAATTTTTCATAATAAAACGTAAACGTACCTAGCATTTCAGTTATTGAATACTGAGTCATTACAAATAAATAATAAAAACATTTGAGCACTTATTTAAAAACATAAAACAACACAGAAATGAGACAACCCTCAAACCCAAAGCCAAAGGCTGTGCGGAAGGGGCTTACACTTGTAAAAACGCGTACAAACACCCATTATCCATCGACATTGCCAGTGCCAACGCCAGGGATTGAACCTGGACCAGAATAGGAAGTCTGGCCGAGAAATGCTTGCCACCGCGTGCTGGAGCGACTACGCTACCGTGGTAAAAAAATGATACTTTGTTGTAAACTGAAATGTCAAAATTTTCATTGTTTTTTTATGGATACCTACTATGATAAAATTGAAAAAATCATAAAATTGGCGTTTTTTGGCATTTAATAAAATCTGTACATCGTATTATACATTGAAGTCAAAATTTAATGCTTTATCTAATGGTGGAGCAATCCAATATGGCGTCCAAAAGAAAATCAAAAGTTGGTTAAGAAATTATGAAGATCTAAGAGTCCTGGAGATGTTTTAACTTTGCAATAGGAAGAGCATATCGTGTTTAGCACACATACCAATTTTTATTATCTACTCCACTTTCAATAATAAAAAAAATATGGAAAAAATAAGCAAAAACAAGTTTTCAGTTTTTTCAGCTCATTTCAAGAACGGTGCAACTGACCACGAATTTCGTGTCATAATCTAAAATGGCATGAAAATATACAACTTTTTTTATAATTTAACCAACCCTATATATATTCTAGTTCAGGGGATACTTACAAATGACCACTCTGTACATCAACAAAACAATGTAATTGCATATGTAATTCAATATTGCACGAGGCCTGTAACCTGCAAAGTATTTGGTTTCAACAACACCATTAGTTAAAATAAAAAAAACGTCACAATCGGCAGAACCAAATATCTGAGATTTATTTTTCTTTTTCAAATCCAGGAAAACACGCATATTATCGTACTCTCTTGCCAAGTACAGATAGAAATATGAAGTAAGTTTCTCTTTATGTAATTACGTGTTTTATTTTAGAACATTAACGCTATCTATAGCTATGATGATCGGAAGAATAGGCGCTGTTTCTGGAAGCATGTTGTTCCCAGTACTTCTCCAAATAGGATGTTTTCCCACGTTCTTCTACATAGGAGGAACGGTATTATGTAAGTATCACGCAGGCGTAGTTAGTTTGATATTGAGGAAAAATATTAATCGAAATCTTATTTATAATCTTTGAGATATTTTTAATACCTAAAACCGAAAAGAATTTTTTATTTGAAATCTCTAAATATGACCAGCAATCGAAATGTGATCATTTATTTCTGTTCCAAAAATTAAGTTTGACTTATTGCTTGCGTCATTAACGTTATTAATATTATTATTAAAACCCCTCATAACATTATTTTAATAAATTCGTATAAATATTATTTTTATTGATATTTTATTAAATGTTAATATCATTGCTTTTGCTTTCAGGTAGTACACTGTTATGTTTTTTATTGCCTTATACAGAAAATAAGGAACTGAGATAAGTCTAATCATCTTTTCATTCCATTTTATACATCTATTTATATCATATGTTACTTGTTATGCATATTATTTTAGGAAATATGTAAATAAATGTTTTTTCATATACTTATTGTTGTATTATTGTTATTAAAAAAACATTCTGTGTTGAAAAGTTGCTATAATAATCTGCTTCGAAAAATGTGTATTCTTATTGTACTGACAGATAGAGTTACTGTGTCTATTAATACCAAAATACAGGGAAGATTAAGTAATAAATAATTAAATTGACCCATTTCTGTAGAATTAATGTTTTGTGTGTTGCCTATCTAAACTAAACTACTAATTGATTATAGATACTGTAAATCGTAGGTTGTTTGGGAAATATATTTCAGATTTCTATATTAATGGATTTATTCAGGTACATTGAAATATCAAATATAAAATGCACTATTATCTAGGTATATTAGATTCCAAAAATGTAATACATATATAAACTATACATTTAATAAAAAATATTGTTAAAATATTTTACTAATATACATATAAGTATAATAATTATAAATATACGCAATAATACTAAAATGTGAACATGAGTATACGTTGTACAAGTGTATTAATAGCGCAAATTGATACAGCTGTAAGTGAACGATACTAGAAGCAAAAAAGTTTTGGTGTGGAGTCCGCAAACGCACCGTTTTCGAGATATAGGGTGTCAAAAAAAAGAATTATTTTCAGTTTTTTTATGACCTTAGGAACCGTTTGAGATATAGAACTCAAATTTTGTACACGTATTATCATTAGCATTAGCAATTTTTGAGCACTAATTCATATGACAGTGGCGAATATTTTAGGATTGCGTGATGTTATTTTGCCTCTCATTTTTACAACTCTCAGAAAATTGGCATTTTGAAAGCCTAATTTTTTAAACCGCCAATGTTTTCCACACAAAAAAGGTACGTACTCATCATCAGGAGCTCTAACGCGAACCGTTCCCAAGATAAATGGCGTTTTGTGATGGAAAACATGAAAGAAAGTGGCAACATGATTACAAAATTTCTTCAAAACTAAGCAAATACACAACAAAATTCACAACAGTTGTTGAAAATGCCATTCTTCTACGGTAATGCAGGCTTCTAACCTACGTCTGAGTGACTGACGTACCCTCTTGAAACGTGATGCGGATCGTATTGCAGGTTTAGAAGCCCGCATTACAAGGAGGAACAACTGTTGTGATTTTTATTGTTTATTTGCTTAGTTTTGAAGAATTTTTTTATCATGTGGCTACTTTCTTTCATATTTTTCATCATAAAACGCCATTTATCTTGAAAACGGTTCGCGTTAGAGCTTTTGATGATACGTACCTTTTCTGTGTTTTTTGTGGCTGTTTAAAATATGCTTTCAAAATTCCAAATTTCCCAGAGTCGTAAAAATTGGGGACAAAAGAACCTCACGCAATCCTAAAATCAAATCTTCGCTATTGTCACATGAATAAAAATTGAATTCGCGCTCAAAAGTCGCTAATGTTAATGATAATAAGTGTACAAAATTTGTAATCTGAATCTCAAACAGTTCCGGTGATATTGTCAAAAAACTGCAAAACAAATGATTTTTTTTTGACACCCTATATCTCAAAAACGATGCGTCTGCCAACTCATGTTTACTAAGACTTTTTTGCTTCTAGTATCGTGTACTTACAGATGTTTCAATTTATGCTATTAATTAATATGATTCACCCTGTAAATACTTTTCAAATATACCTTCTTAAATTCGTTTTTTAAAACGTTCAGTTTTTTGTTCATATAAATCTAGATTAAAATTTGTCCACACATTTACATACCATTCTCACTTCTGATAAACAGCGTATTCAGTACAGTTGCTTCTAAATTTGAATATTTATTCCATACACAGCGTGTAAGTAAGTGTAGGTATTTATAACTGTGCAAATAGTGCGATATTTTACCGAAAATTTTATCTCTGTTATTCTTTTGTACACGTAAAGTAAATAAAATTTTAATGGTTGCCATTGTTTTATTTTATTAAATAATTCACATATTGAAGAGTTATTGCTTAAACTAAGTCAGCTTATTTATACAGAAAGAAATTTTAACGTAAAAAAAATCAGTGAACATGCAGAGCAAAATACAAATTATATCGACGGAATCCGAAGACGCCTCTTCCCACCAAACACAAGCCGGTGAGTCAAGTAACTACTTATAAAATAAACAACAAAAACTGTTACAACTCAAAAAACTTGCTTTTGGGATAATGACATTTTAAGTTTTTTATACTTGTACCTACGAGTATTTGGTTTCTAATTAAATGTTTCTCTATTCTTTGGTTCTAATATACCAAATTGTTAGAATTGCACAGAATTAGCATATTATAAGTAAAATTTTCCAATTAATTTTGAGTTGTAACATTATTATTGAAATAAATTGTGTTATTTTCAATGAAAATGATGAAGGTGTAACATTTTTGTAGTCATCATTATTTTTATTTTCGTGTTTAATTACTTCCACAAAAAGATAGCTATATTAACTAAATTTGTTTAAAATTTCTCAAAACAAAAATCAATGTATCAATATAAGAAATTTCAGTTCTCATTCTCTTTGGTGTTGCTTTACGAAAACGCAATAAAATACAATTAGCTGAAATGTTATTTTTAGTAATGTCTCTAGATTGATAAAATGCCATAATTAACCAACAATTTGGGGCAAGTTTTCTGTTGTCATCTTTGAAATATGCGATTGAATCATCGGTATGTTTTATAGGATGTAAAAAATATAATTGATCATGAGGTTAAAACTTCTTAACATTAGGTAGGTATTCAAAGTTTAATTATTTTATTGAGGCGAACATTTTTAATATTCAATATACGAAATATACCAAATAATTTTGAGCAGTTTATCTGACAGTAAATTAAAAACTAAGACTCCTTTCAAATTAAAATCTAATGTAGTTTATAGAATACCTTGTGGAAACTGTAAAAAAGTTATATTGGTCAAACAGGTAGATATATAAATATGCGTATTTCAGAACATAAAAGAGATTTAAAAAATTTAAATAATTTACATCCAACGGCACTTGTAGAACATTCAAAAGACAAAACAAAACTGCTTGGGCATCAACCTATTCTCCCAAATAGGTTGCTCGAGGAAATGATTTATATTAAAAAAATTAATAGTGTTAATACTAAGAAATATATAGATAATTCAAACTTGGTTTATTATTATTTAATTGATAAAATTCTCTTGTAACAGTAGTTTGGTTTACTCAGGTTTAGATTTTTTTCAAAAATGTGATGGATTGAAACATAAAAAATAAAAAAATAAAAGGAAAAAGAAAAAAGGGGAGGGGGAACTAATAGGAAAAAGAAGCATGATATATACACACATTAGAATTAACATATTTTTCTACTGTCATTTTGCTGAACATTACTAAGAGATTATAACAATTTTTACTGTGAAAGAAAACCGCATTACATTTGTTCCATGAATTATAAGTACACATATAAGTATCTCGATACCATCTTCTTAATATTTAGAATTGTCGAGTTGTAAAAAAGACACTTCAAATTTCGGTGAGTGAGTAATACCTATGTTATTTTTAGAGCTGTTTCAGAATTTTTCTCTTTTAGGTTTTACAGTAATTGTGACAGGAACAATTATTTAGAATTACTGTAAATGTATTTGTTTTTTAAATTATTTTAATACCTTAACGAATTTTATAAAAAACATTGTATTTTAGCGACCTGAGGATAGTATAAAATAACACCGAAACGTTGGCAATGATTTAAAATATAGTTTTCTTTTATTTATTGATCTTTATCCCACTAAAACCTTGACTTTTTGTAGACGATTAAATTTTGTTAGTTCTGATATAAACCACAACTAAATAGGAAAAAATATGGATAATAGTTAATGGGATATTTAGAAACGTCAAACACAAAATGACATATGTACAGTAGTTGCCTATTCTCAGCAAATCGGGTTACTATGTTTTAGTTAATGCGTATTTTTTATTACCCTCCTGGAATATTTCCATTTTTTAAAACTAGTAAATACATTTGATATTTTCTTCCCCAATTCCATTTTTGGGAGCTATTTTTGCTATAACGTAAGCAAGCAAGCAAGTGCAAAAAGCAAAAAATTTTTTAAAAGGTACAAATTTTTTCATCACATATTTTAACATTGAATTGCATCTGATTTTTTTTCACTTGATAGATTTGTTTATTTACAAGGTTATTGCAACAACATTCAACGTTTTTTTTTTTAGAAAATGAAGGTTCCACTTTCGAAAATGCAGTCACGTTGACAGGATTTGGAAAGTTCAACGTAATTCTAATTTTGGTGATAATACCAGGTATTTGGGCTCCCATATTTGAAACAACTACAATGTCATACAGTTTTGCTGCTGCGCATTGTGACTTGAAGCTGTCACTGGAAGATAAGGGATATTTAAATTCCATTACATACCTAGGTAAATTGTGCTCAACAGAACATACCTGTGTTTAACACAGCGCTGGAAGAAATATTTTCCTTTTACACTCAACTTACAGTGTTCAAGAGTTTTTATTTCTATTAGCTATTATAAACAAATATGTAAGGGAACACTTGGCAAAATGTGTATGCATGACGTAGTGGTACCTATACAACTATAAACTTTGGAATTTATTAAGTTAAAATCATCGTTTAAGAGAAAAGTTTCACTAAATGAATCATATGATTAAAATCACAAGCTTTCAACTGAAAAATATGGGGTAGTGTCAAGCTTTAAATGTTTAAAGATATAAAAATACATATTTTTAGGTATGGTATTAAGTGCTCCGGTATGGGGGTTTCTTTTTGACACGCTTGGAAGAAGAAAACTTCTAATCGGAGGCTACTTGCTGGATGCCTTGTTTGTCTTTATAAGTGCATTTACACAAAGCTTCATTCCTCTAATGATATGCAAATTTTTTGGAGGTCTCATGTAAGTTTATCTCTATTGTTATTATTATTTTTCCACAAAAATGATCGAAAGTATTAGAAATATCGGTAATTTTTTACTTTAGAATTAATGGACCATACGCTGCTATGATCACCTACGTTTCAGAATTTCATTGCTTTAAATATAGGCCTAGAATACAACTTGTGATTGGAACCATGAATTCTTTAGGAAGTGTAGCCCTCCCACTGCTTGCGTGGTGGATTTTACCCCTGGCACTGGACTTATCGTTTTTAAATGGATATATCAGTACGACCCTTTAAACATTTTTTTCGTTGTACTGAATATAGAAAATATTTTTAGAGCTACACTCGTGGAACGTGTATTTACTTATTTGTGGTTTGCCTGCATTTTACAGTGGAATAGCATTCTTATTTCTTCCTGAAAGCCCAAAATTTTTGATGACCATCGGAGAAAATGAAAAGGCATTAACAGTTTTTCAAAAGGTGTACAGTATTAATACTGGGAAGCCCGCTGACTCGTTCCCTGTAAGCGTTTTATTAGTCAAAATAAGAGTAAGACCTTCTTGTATTACAAAATAAAGTTTTTTGAAGTGTGCCAATATTTCAAATTTTTATTCCGGTTTCATAGCAGCTCATTATGAGCACATAAATCATTAATGACGAATTTAAGAAAAATCGAACTCTATTAAGAATTATTATTATTTCAGATAAAACAGCTTGTGGACGAAACTAAGATTAACGATGATAATAAACATGGAGGTCATGTAACAGCTAACAGGACCAAAGTTCAAGCATTGAAAGAAGGGTGGCAGCAAATTACCCCTCTATTTTATTCTCCATTAGTATCAAAACTATTTTTGGTATGTTTTATACAACTATGTGTAATTCAAAGGTAAAACCCTGCATATGGGACGAGTAATATTTTTTTAAAGTACGTTTTTCAGTCATAACATGATACGGTTATGGACACCACAAATTTTTCAAGCCATCGATGATTATGAACATTACTATAACGGCTCTAGTGCTAGTTTGTGCACAATGTTAGAGCTTCTAAAACCGACACCCGTATCTGAAGAATGTGTTGTTGTAAGTAGGCTTTTTTGAACTGGTTTATTTAAAGATAATTTAATAAACCAATAATTACAATCAGGAGACTGTTTCCATATGTTAATATTTTAAAGTAGAAGGTTTCATATTAGCTTGTAGATGATTACTAGACAAACTAATTCAAGGCCACTGGCTATCGAACATAAACAGCTGTCAGTCATTATTTTTATTTTTATTTTTTTCTTTGCAGAACTTGAACAATTCCAAGGTATACATTAACTCCATTATAGTAGCTGCTGTAACAATGTTAGGATTCGGCCTAACAGGATTTGTTATAAATATATTAGGCAAAAAAAAATTAATGAGTAAGTTAATGAATTATAGAACACATAAACAATTAATGTAACATTCCAATTTTTTTTAGTTATATTTGGTTTTCTCGCTGGCGTTATTAGTTGTTTACTATACCTTTCGCAGAATACTTTTACAACTGTAGCGTTGTCTTCAATATTTACAACTCTCACAAGTATTTATTCCTATGTTGTTCTAGCTGCCATAGTGGACTTATTTCCCACAACTTTAAGGTAATCTGTTGAGAACCGTTTAAATTTTATTTAATGAGCTGAACATAAATATCTACCTACCTACGTTATATAAAATTGTTTATTACAATGGTACCCTATAAAATTTATAAACCATTGCCACTAAAACAATACTGTTATGCATAATTAAGTATAGTCTGAGACCGACGACCTGAAGAAAATATAGAAAAGGAAAGTTCATAAGGTGGAATCCATAATTAAAATAGCCCCGGGTAATATCTGAATGTGACTTTTCTAAAGGTTTCCTAATGCAGTTAATATCATAGATTTATTTTTAAGAGGTTAATAACTTATGATAAAGGTTGTCCCAAAAGCAACGCAGGATATCATGTGAGGAACAAAGATTTTATTAATTAAAAAGTTGGCAAAGTTTTTACTTGTTTTAAAGGGTAGACATTGCCACCATTAAATATGAAAGAGGATATCCGACAGATGTCTACTGCCACTCATTTGGTACACTCGACTTCTTTTAAGAAAATTCTGTATCCTGTATCACGCTTTTACATATCTGCGCCTGACTTTCATTGATAACTCTTCGAATTTCTGTCTTTAATTTGGGAATAGTATTCATTTGAGGAGAATACATTTTACACTTTACGAATACCCACAGGAAAAAGTGGTGTGGCATAAGATCGCATGATCTTGGCGGCCAAGTCACTTCACTGCTAGGATAGATAAGTCTTCCGTTAAATTTCTGACGTATCAAGGGGATAGCTTCAAGTGCAGTATGGCAAGTGTCACCATGCTGCTGAACCACATGTCATCCAAATCCATGCCATTTAAATGAGGCCACAAAAAGTTCAGTAGCATCTCTCAGTATCGTTCGATACTGACAGTCATTGCGGTTCCAGTATGATTTTCAAAAAAGAACGGACCCATCACCTCACCAAAGTAAAATTCACACCACATTGTCATTCTTTGTGTACACAATATCATTCTTGAACAACCTGAGGGTTGACGGTTTTGCTTGTTCATATACTCATTAAAATGGAAATGTACCTCGTCGCTAAAGATGATTTTCTTAGCAAAATCACCGTCCACTTATTGATTCTCCAACATCCAATCGACGAACGTCCGGTGCATTAAATGGTCGTCTGGTTTCAATTCTTGGGTTAGTTGAATCTTGAATAGATGCAGAGCTTTTGCTAAAATCCGTGACCGAGGAAGCACTGAGGTTACGGGAATTTCCGCCCCGTATCATTCACTGTACCAATATTTTCGGCTGAACGGCAAGTACGAGGTAGGCCTATTTTTTTATTGTCTGCAACCAACCTGTTGGCAACTAATCTTTTCACAGTTGTGTCATTCAAGGCGTTTCCACGTAATTTGCGCAAAGTCTCAGCTACATACTCTCCGTATTTGTAATGAATTTTCACAATCTTCACTAGATCATCTGTCGTATAGTGCTCCATTTTATATAACTGCAACTTGTTTACTATCACATGTGACCCAGCATGGTGTTGCCACCTATTAAGAATGAAAATGGCGCACAATTCAAATGCTGTGTTACATTTGGGACACCCTTTAGTGTTAACAAATTACTATATTCATAATTAAAATATTCACTTCCAGATAGGTGCGGTGAATAATTTATTTTCTTATATTTATCATACTGAGTGTTAAATGATGACTAAATAAATCGAACAGTTTATCTTGTTTAAAAATCTTGTTGAAACAGGCACAAAAGCTATGACATCAATCTTTTTCTTGCTTTCTTACAGAACACTAACTGTTGCTCTAACCATGATGATGGCTAGGGCAGGCGCCATGTGTGGAAATTTATTGTTTCCGGTTCTACTTCGACTAGGTTGTGAACCTCCATTCTTTTATATTGGTGTCACCATAATAGGTAAATGTAATTGTTTCTTTGCATTGATAACTAATAGTTTTAGTACGTAGTCTCAGTAAACTGGCATTTTTGATTCTCCACCGGAAATTATGTTTACTTAATCCGTTTAACAGGAACAAAGGAACGAAGATTATAACGTGGTATCTAGATTTGACGTTTCTGATACATGCCAAAAAAGTATGTAAGACAATTTCACATAATAATTGTAACATGATGCAAATGACAGATTTAAATCCATTTGTGCTTACAATTTAGTTTTTTTTACATTTAAATTCAGTTCTCTAACAGTCAATCGGTGATTTGGACACACCAGATCTTTGACTATTTGACCGTGAGAGTCATCAGTTGAAGTAGAAGGCCTTCCTGATCGAGGATCATCTTCAATTGACTGACGACCACTGTTAAATTGTAAAAACAATTCGTAACGTAACGTACGACCTAGGGTATCATCGCCGTAAGCTTATTTTAAAAATTGAAGCGTTTACGTGAAAGTTTTCCCCTGTTTCACGCTAATTTTATGTCACATTGTTGTTCGAGAAAATCACACATTTCATTCTAACACTTATACTCGATAACAATGTCACGAAAACTAAATGAGATATCAACAATCCAAGAATATGTGGTTACAGATGTTATGCGCAACGCAATTCTTCCAACCGCATATCGCTATACATATACCTCCATTAACGCGTAATAAAGTTATTTTCATGGAGATTTATTTGTTATTAGCAAAGGGGATGATAATGATAATAAAACTAGCTTAAATGAATAATTTAATAATTTTATTCAAAAATGACGGTAACGCATATGTTATTAAGTAATATTATTTTATTAATCATTTATTATTGTAATTAATAATTTAAAATTAATTTGGTTTTTTAATTATAAACACGATACGATATACAATACAAGTATACTACTGCCATAAATGAAACGTCCCCTCAATGTCTGACTAAATCGAAATAAGTTCTGGTATTAAAATCAATGCATAGTTGCTCCTAGTTGTCCTTTGATGTGGTGGATACTTGACTCTCTTAAATCTCTGAACGCGTATTATACAATACGCTATTATATAACAATTATTTCCTTTTCTAATTTATTTGTTATTTTTTATGTTTCAGTTAGTGCAATATTTTGTTTCCTGATGCCTAATACAGACAACAAACCCTTGAAATAATAAAAATATACCTACGTGGTATCCATAGGAAATACATATATATGTTATAGTTTTTTTAGAAAATATATTTATATATTTTATATTTTACATGCTTTCATTTATTTAATTTAATGTTGGGCAATAAATAAATATTTATATTGAACTATGCGTTATTTCATAAATTCTAACTCAAATATACAGGGTGTAAATGATGATGAAAATAATCAAGTTTTGCTCTATAAAAATTTTTGATAGGACGCTTCTCTACAGAGATACAGGATGCTAAAGTTTATAGTTATTTATGTATCTAGGGAATTATAAGGGCCTTAATTACCGATGGCAAAGTTTGCCGAGGGCGTCCGGCCCGAGGGACAGCAATTGCCTGAGGTTATTAAGGCTCATTAATTCCCGTGGTACATAGATAATTTTATTTCTGACCGATTTCAATAAAATATTGTTTATTTTTAAAACGGAAAAAATGTACCAATTTATTACCTTCCCAGTATATTTGAATCAGGTACCATTGATTATAAGAGTTTTGTTTGTTGCTAGGTTGTTGCTATGTTACGTGTTTATAAACAGAATTGTTACTTGTTTATAAACAGAACTTTGTTATCAAGCTGTGTTTGCGTTAAAAACGTGTTTTCTACCCCAAATATAATGGAGCAGATTTTGAAAAAAGCTAAAAAAGCAAGAGAATCATTAATTCCATCGAAAAGTGAAGCCGTATACCATTTCATAAATATATACACATATATGTATATTAGCATTTTTTATTTTATTTTTACTTGTGAAAGGTAGAGGGAATTATAGAATCTATAATGTCCTAAGGGAGTTATGACTCTCTTTATTGATAGCGTAACTATGACGATACAAACTTATAATATCCCGGTCAGAAATAAAAATATTTATATTATTTTTCTTGTAACCTCACTGGCAAAAAAGGTTGAGTGATAAAATTTGGGAGATGCCATTTTTTAGTAGGGACAATTTTTTATGGATAACTTCCAAAATATACACCAGCATTTTTTATACATAAGGGTGGCTGCCACCTAACGTTAATACAGCCCGGCGGATTTTCGAGTCATTTTAATCTATAAATGTTGAAAATTTTAACTGGCATTACAACATGAATGAAAATCATAATCTGAAAAACCGTTGTTGGAAAACCGTTGCTGTATTCACACCCGTAAAGTGGGGGAGGTTCAAAATACGAAGGTACGAAAAAAATTGTATTATCTTGGCTTCTAATGGACCAATTTCGATCTTTTTTTTAATCCGATGTCTCGTGAGCCAAGGAATCCGAATATCGTAATACCAACTGTCTAATTTGCACATATTTTGTTATAAACAAAGTTTATTATTTATGCATTAAATATACTGTATATTTTCCCTATGCTATTGCATTTTTTCAATGAAAAAATTTGTTTACGTATATATTTCAACACTCTGAATATGGATATATTTAGTTATAATCTCGGTTATAATTATTACAATTATTTAAATAATTTTTGTTTAAACAAATTTTATTATTAGATTCTTGATTTTACAGTGGATCTGAATTCACAACTTTGCATACGGAAGTATATTTTCCGTAGATAAAAATGTGAATATTTTTCTTATAAATCTGCCCATTCGATTAATATAAAAATAGCCGAGTCAATAAACAACATAATAACTTGTCAATTAACACATAGGTAGATATAAATTACTTTTTTAAAGACAATTTGCAAAGAACTACAAGAAATTTAAAAAATCTATTGAAACGGTTTGTATAAGACTATTTTTAAGTATTTTATACTACCTTCACCTTCCTAACACCCTGTGTTACAAAAAGTAGAATTTGGATAATCAACAGAAATCTGACTAACATGTTAATAAACTAATTAATATTAAGATATATTTTAAGAACATGTTTAATGCATCAATTCATTATAAAAAAATCGCAATTTCAAGAGTTATATTCATTAGATTATTAGGAACTCAATAATTACCACTGATAACAAAAATTCAATGGCATGATCATTCTACATAAATGTTTAATGCAATGGATAAAATGAATGGTGTTTTACAATAAATAATCCAGTTTTTTTGGAACACTCGATTCCAAACAATGGTCCTTCGGTATCAAAAATGTATGTAAAAGATATATAATATCATAGACGAGATTCTTACTGATAATTTTACAGGAAACAATTACATTATGCCCTAACTAGCACTGAATTATACTAGCAATACCTAGTATATTTTTGGATTCCTAGATTTTAGGAATTGAAGAACATTGTTTGGTTTCATTTGACAGGGTTTTTAGAAAAAACAAATGAATTTAAATCATATTATACAAAAAGTCAACTCAAAATTTGTTTCATATACTCAGAATAGAGTCAAAAGTCACTCAATTGATAGCATTAACTCGAATTTCAGTAAAACCATAGACAATATAGCGTTCCGCTACAGACTGCTACTTAAATGCTAGAAATTGGCAACCCGAAATGCAAGCAGTGTCTCCTTAGCCGGCTTCCAGCTATAAAATTTAGCGTGGTAACTCTTCTACCTACTAATAGGCGGCAGTTCCAACGGTGGCTTTGTTGCCAAATAATAACTGCTAAATAGATATGGAACTTATCTTGTGTTTGGAAATCACATTTGCCTTAAATGTTAAATAAAATAAATCAAGTTAGAATTAAAACTATGAATTTACCTAATTAATTATTTATTTTATATCACCTTGGAATGGGAAAATTCAAAAACTCGAAAGTAATGTTTTTAGATTTGTGCGTCGACTTCCAATATGGTACGATATCAAAACCTATGTTTAAAAAAATTGCATTATACAGATTGTGTATCCTTAGATGGGTACTGCCTCTTATTGTTGATTTCTTTAGATAGGTAAATAATTATTTATTGACACAAATGTTGCATATTATGGATGTCATTGGTAGTGCCCAAAAAAAATTAACACAATGTAAAATTGCTGGAACCTCAACGAGTAGTTGAATACGAAATGTATTTAAAAAAAAACAACAAATCATCAATCAATACAGAGATAAGATAATGCGTTTGCTACTGCTGTTGCAATTTTTACCTAACTAACTTCTTTTTTGTTTTTCGACATACTGACTTCGGACCGTTTCCATTCAACGCAGAACGGACAATCAGAACAGAGTTGTGGGGAGATTTTTTTAATTACTTTTTAAATTCAACGCACCGTTTCCGAATTATAAGACCTTTTTTACTGTATCACCTCACACACCTCTTTTTTCCGAAATTTATTTTCCACATACGGACTTCGGACCTTTTCCATTCAACGCTGAATTGTCATACAGAACCAGGGATGTGGGGAGATTTTTTCAATTATTTTTTCGATTTAACGCACCGTTTCCGAGTTATACGGCCTTTTTACTATAACACGACATACCTCTTATTTCCAGAATTTATTTTCGACATACGGACTTCGGACCTTTTGCATTCAACGCAGAAGGAACAGACAGAACCCGGGAGGGACGAGTTGACATTTTCAATTATTTTTTCGATTCAACGCACCGTTTCCGAGTTATAAACACTTTTTTATCCTATGACGTCACACACTGTTGGTCCCGATTTTTTTTTTTTGACATGCGGGTTTTGACGTTTTTTCACTCGTTCACCATGGGAGATTTATTTGTTCACCATGGGAGATTTTTTGATACTTAAGAGTCTAAGCAAATACTGTTTTTTTTTCTTTGATATATTGTGACACCCCGTTCTGCGTCACCCACCGAGTGCTCTACTTAGAACCAAGGGGAAATTTGTTTATATTTCCAGCCATTTCCGAGTTACGAGCAAAAACCATATTTTTTTCTTATACTGTGTGACATCATAGATCGATAACGAAGGCTTAACAAGGCCACGCGCTCTACCCCACGTTCCCACCCTAGGTGTCCTGAAATTGCTGGGGAGACTCCTGAAGGCAGCAGGGAGAGAGAGAGAGAGGGAGAGAGAGAGATAAGCTCTCTATGAGGACAGAGTCACTCTATCTCTATCACACACTATAACTCTATCTCTCTCGCACACAATCAGACAAAAACGACAGAAACGAACCTTCTTTTAAAAATACATGGGATTTATCATTATTAGAATATAATATTGGCAAATTTATTTTGGACGAAGAATCCCGTCAACGAACACTAAAAAATATTATTAGAAACCTTAGGTGGCCAGAAAACAGCCCCGATCTCATTGTCAGTCCTTTAGACATATTTTTTTTACCTGAAAGTTTGCAAGTATTGAAAAAAAAATACAGGATGAAATGCTTGATAATTTTGAATTTGTTTTTGAAGCAATTAATAGTAAATTGAAACATATTTTCAACTGTATCATCACAATCACTTACATGTTGATTTGTAAAAATTGTAGGTATATTAATGTTATTTCGTTTTTAGGTATTCTCCTTATGTTGTTGTAAAGGTTAGTTATAAAAAGCGTTGTTTGTTATTTTCATAAGGATGAATTTTAATTTTTTTTAATGATTTTTTTTATTTTAAACATATATATTTTATGCCAGTAAATTTTGATGTCAAATGAAATAAAGGAAAAGTCGTACATTTGTATTTAAAGTTTCTTTCTATCTTTAATTATTAAACCTATAAGTGGATGTCAAAATACAAAAAAAAACTTACCTACATTCCGCGACGTACTAATAACCCACCTTGTATATTAAATAAATTTATCGTCATCATCAAATATTAAAAAATTATATTACAAGCTGTTTAAAATATTATTACGAATTTTGTTTATTTGGAAATATATTTTCTGCAGTATTTCAATACCAAAAAATGAAAATAGTAGGTAGCTAATTAACGAAATTATGATTAAATAACTTAATTGTAACACCACTGCAGAATATCATATGATACATACATAGATATTCGTTGATTCATTAAAAACATTTTTATCAATACCTACATCATACATTGAATTAAATACAGTAACGCAAAAAACAAATATTGATAAAAAAAGTGTACAAAAGAAATCCGTAAGTACGCCTGGCAACATTACCAAAGTCTTGTTTATATGTTGCTAGGATACGCTTAGGTATGCGGGCCGCTGTATTTGATTCTTCCTAAAAT